TGTGGTCATTAAATATTTATTAAATATCTACTACATGTCAGTCACTGTGTTAGGGACTACGTATACACTGGTGAACAAAACTGATGAGCTCCCTGCTCCTGTGAGGTCCAGTGACAAAGACAGATAATAATCATGCAAACAGATCTATCATTATAAATTGTAATAGGTGCTAAGAAGGCAGGCAACAGACTGAAGTAATAGGGAATAAAGGGAAAGGACTAGCAAAATAGGCAGCCAGGCAAAGAGCAGGGGAGTGTTCAAGAAAGAGGGAGCCACCCATACAAAAGCCCAAAGGTATGAAAGAACTTGCTCAGTTTAAAAATAAATAAATAAGAAAGCATATGGACCATGAGATTGGAGAGGTAGGAATGGGCCAAGTTATATACACGGCATCACAAGCCAAGATAGAGTTCGAACTTGTATTTTGTTCCAAGCCCAGAAGAAAACCATTAAAAAAGTGTTTGCATATTCACAGACTGTTGAATAAAAGGACCCAGACCCAAAAGAATATATGCTGTATGATTCCATTTTTACAAAAGCACAAAAACAAATGAAAGTAATCTATGTGGTTAGAAGTCACCATGGATGGTGGAAGGGCATTGGCAACTGGAAGGAAATTAGACTGGGTCTTCTAGGTACTGGTAATGCTGTTTCTTGATCTGGGTGCTGGTTACATGGCTATATTCAGTTTATGAAAGTCATCAAAAGTTTTTTAACCCTCACCCAAGGACATGCTTATTGATTTTAGAGAGAGGGGAAGGGAAGGAGAAAGAAGGAGAGAAACATCAATTGGTTGCCTCTGGTAGACACCCCAACCAGGGACCGAACCTATAACCTAAGCAGTTTGCCTCTGTTCACGTCCAACTGAAAACCAACTTGTGCCCTGACCAGGAATTGAACCCACGAACTGGACAACACTCCAACCAACTGAGCCACACTAGGCGGGGAAGCATCATCAAATTGTTTTTATGATATGTTTCTGTATTTATAGCACATACATTATATATATCAATAAAGCACTGTAATAAGTTTTTTATTATATATTCAAGCTTTTAATGTAATAAACATTTTAAAAATATTACTCTATCCAGATAAAACAGAAATAGAGGAACATCTACAAATATGTAGGGTCCTGACTGACTGATACACATAAGATAGGGAGAAGAATAAATCAGGCATTGAACACAAAATACCATGTTTATAAAGAATAAATGCCAAATCCGGGAAGGGAATTTTGCAATAAAGGATGAGCTATAAGTTCTTCAAAATTTATAAGGAGATATATAAGGAGGCATTTCCAGAAATTAAGAAAGGAATGGATGAAAACAGCCATGTCTAAACAGGTTAGCAATGCCTGTTATGTTTTGGCTTATATGTTAATATGGTATTTTCAATCACTTCCCTTGCCCTCCATTCCCCTCCCCCCAACCCAAGAGACCAGAGTGTGTAATGAAATAGAAAGATTCCAAACCTGAGCACCAATCATACCTGAGTTCAAATCAATGGTCTACCCCTCACTAGCTCTTCCAGTAACTGCTCTGAGCTTTAGCTCCCTCATGTATAAAATGAGGATAATGACTACTTCGTACAGTTATTATTTTCCCCCATCATAACCCAAAATACTGAGTTGGTAGCCTGGTATTTTAATTTAATTATTATTTCCTAATGGTATATGGAGGGCTGATGGTTAAGAAGTTTTCATTCTCAGGATTCACGAGTGGGAAAAGATGATTATAGAATGGTCAACAGATAGAAACAGAATGAATAAAGAGAAAAAAGAAGGAGAAAGAGGTAAAAATGGGGTTTCTTAGCACAACAGGTTTCAAGCATTTCCTAAGACAGAAACTTAAATGAAAGCAAATTAGGACATGTTCAGTGACAAGAAATTATGAGAAAGAAGAAAATTATCTTATGTCATCCCAGAAAGACAATTTCTACCTAATATATTCCCTTTCTGGAATATTAGCTAAAACAAGTTAGAGATAAACTAAGGATATTCTGTCACAGATGGAAGGACAAGCCCTTCAATCATTTTATAGCATCCCCACCCTTAAGAATTTGAACAACCATTAACATGTAAGCACTTCTTAAGGATAGCCAAAGATGTTTTTTATTTCAGGAGCTACCATTTCAAAATAATAACAACAACAACAGTTCAACTCTTTAATAAATCTTTGAGTCTTTTTCCCCTACAATGTATCCCCCATCCTAAAAGTAATGAAAACCTGGTTCAATCTGTCTTTTCCAATATGACAAGTGCTCCCACCTCTACCTCTCTTATTCTCCTCATGCACCTCACTACTGAAGATCTAAGACCTCCTATTTCCTACAAATTTGGTGCCTTGACTCTCTAGTATTTACTCTGATGGCACCAGCATTGAGTCTGAATAGAGAAACTTGACACCCTAGCTGGTGTGTCTCAGTGGATTAAGCACCAGCCTGTGAACAAAGGTCACTGGTTCAATTCCCAGCCAGGGCACATGTCTGGGTTGCAGGCTGGGTCCCAGGCTGGGGATGTGCGAGAGGCAACCAATCAATGAATCTCTCACACATTTATATTTCTCTCCCTCTTTCTCTTTCCCTTCCCCTCTCTCTAAAAATAAACAAATAAAATCTTTTTTAAAAAGTTGGAAAAAAAAAAAAACAACAACAATGACATTCCCAGGGATCACTTTGCTAACCAATTTGTTGAAACTAACTTGTTTAAACAAATGAAGGCATTAGTGGTGATTACACAGCTGTATACATTTGTTATGTATACACCACAAAGTGTACACTTAAAACTGGTGAATTTTATTGTAAGTAAATTATACCTCAAGAAAGCTGACTTTTTTAAAAAGGAATGCACGCATTCATTCAACAAATATTTACCTATTATCTATTACGCACATCGAAGTTTATACCAAATTTTTCAGCTTGACTACGTAGGTCCTACCTGTCTGTAATGTGCTTTAGTCACAAGCTGACGTCTTCCCAAAAAGCCATGTTACATGAAAAATGGTTCAGTTTCTGATCATGAGTGTTACCTCAATGATGGCTCTACAGTGGAGGAACCGTTAGCTATCCAATATCTTTCATTATATAAATGCAATCTATGATCACCTAGGTACTCTATAAAAAAATTCATTCAGCACCTACTGCATATAGAACATACCCCAACCACAGCCTTATATGTTTGTCCTTCTACCAGAAAACTAGAACATCTCAAAAGCATACTGACAACATTGCTGGAAAAAAGAATGAACCATTAATGGGAAATGGACTTAACTGACAGTCTAGGTCCACCGTGACCCAGTGGCTGAGTCAAAGGCCTGGAAACTAGGCCTTCTGGTTTCCAACTCAGTGTGCCTAGTGGAGATAACCATGGACCTTCCAGGGGTGTCCAACCCACATGCGGCCCAGGATGGCTATGAATGTGGCCCAATACAAAACTGTAAATGTACTTAAAACCTTTTTTTTTTTTTTTGCTCATCAGTTTTTGTTAGTGTTTGTGTATTTAATGTGTGGCCCAAGACAACTCTTCTTCTAGTGTGGTCCAGAGATGCCAAAAGGTTGGACACCCCTGTTTGGTTAACAGACTTAAACTTGAATTCCAGCAACACTTCTTATTAGCTTCCTATATAAACTTGGGAAAAGTCACTTTACCTTCTGACCCTCACAGTCTGTTCATGTGAAACAGAGAAGCCAACTACCCCCTCACAACACTGTTGTGAAGCCTATGTGAGACAGACGCCACGTAGCACAGTTACTGGGCACAGAGTAGGCAACTCAACAATACTAGTTCCCTTTCTTGGTCTTAAATTATTTAAGAGTAAGAAAATGCCTGTTAATCAAGGCTCATCCACAATCCCTATTAGTAATCAGAGGACAATGAACCTGTATTTGCTGCCTTATTCATACCCTAATCAACTCCCTTCTCATCCCACTGTTTCCAGTTTCTCTAACTTTAGTACTATGTTTAGAAAAGTGATTTAATTTTAGAAACCTGGAAAATTCTTCTGAATAAATCGAGCAAAACCTTAATCTGCCCCAAGGGGAATTCTGAGCAAAATAATTATTTCTGACAAGTGAATTTTCGACGGGGGTTATTTAGTTTAACCACACAAATGCCACCAAATCCGCACACGAAGTCACAGAAACAATCTGGAACATACTGTACAGATTCTCAGAAGGGAAATGTTCACCCTCCCTCCCTAATCTGAGGTAGTAAAATCTTACTAGGTGATCTGAATTCCGCCGGGTTCTGACACCAGTCCAGCTCCTTAGGCCAGAACTGCAGCAGTTTGTAAAAAGCAGCAAACCCCTCCCCTCAAAATATTTTCAAAAGGCAGGTAAGTCCAGAGAGTATTTTCTCCTCAACCGAGACAGATAAGGCACCAGGAGCTCAGAAACACAATTCTTTTCCCAAGGTCATTCATGTCAGCGAAGGTGCGACGGAGAACCTGCAAGCAGTCTGTCTTTCTAGAGATCGCACTGCAGCGTTTTGGGGGTGCCTATTCTCTTATCCTCTCCCACCCTTAAGTGTGAGCACCAGTCTCGGCATTTCCGAAACAAGCCACAACAAGCTCCGCAGTGTTAGGAAAGGGGCTGACGATGAAGAAACAGATGCTCCCAAGCAAGACAGTCTTTCTCGGCTCACAGAGCCTCCTCCAAGGTTATTAACAAAAACCGCAGGCACCTCACAGAGCGCTAAACCGGACTCAGAACCCCCCGCCGGGCCACTCCAGGAGCCTGGTTCCCTGCAGTAAGCCTCCGACGCCCGAGGCCACGGGCCCCAGAAACCGCACTTCATTCCTGCGCTTCGGGAAGCCATGGCTCCTTCCCGGCCCGGGTAGGGGTGGGGGAGCGCAAGGAGGCGGGCCGCGAGCGCTGCGGAAAGTTCACCGCTGCGGCGGCGGCGGCGGGCGGGGGTCGGCCCCGGCCCAGCTCGCCCGCGTCCCCTGCAGATTCCACCATTAATTAGTCCTCAGGACTGTCTACTGGCAACTTAAACAAAGCGAATGCCTCAAATTCCTTCCTGGCCCGGCGGTCTGGCTGTGAGACCAGCATACGCCGGGACGCGGGCCGGTAAGGCGGGCCGACAGCTGCGGCGGCGGCGGCGGCGGCGGCGGGACCCCTCCCCGCCCAGTCCTCGCCCCGGCAGCCCGGTCCCGCAGCCAGCCCCGCACGCCGGCCCGAGCTCTCCCAAACCTCCCTCCCTCCTCCTCCTCGGGAGCTCCCGGGCTCTTCCTGTAAGATCACTTCCTTCCTCCCCGGGTGCCCGCGGGCCCCGCGCAGCCCCCTCCCCGGCGGCCCCGGCCCCCCGCCCCGCTGCGCCGTTCCCCGCCCCCACCGCGCCCGGCGCGCTCTCCACCCGAATCCCAAACTCGACCCTAAAACTCTTCCTCCGCGCCCCCCATAAAACATCCCCTCAGCTCCCGGCTCCAAACATTTCTCCTCAGATTCTCGTTCCCATCGAGAAGTCTCTCAAAACCTTCCCTCCCCCTTCAAAAACTCCAAAAACATTCTCAAGGTCTCGCTCCCAAAGATCTCCCCTTCGGAGTTTTTCCTCCAAAATTCCACTCAAACTCTCCCCCCACCTCAAGTCCACACACCCCCAAGCCCTCCCCCGGGTGCGCCCGTCGGGTCTGCCCCGTCGCCCCCGGGTGCCCCGACCCCTCCGCAGGGCAGGTAATCCACTCCAGGCGCCCACCTTTCTTCTCGATCGGCCGCCCCGGCCTCCCGCACCGCGCTCCCACCGCCCCACCACCGACCCCTCACCTCCGCGACTCCGGCCCACGCTCCCGCCAGCCGAAGACTCCAGCGCTCTCGTCCCGGCGGCCGGCGCCTCCTCGGGCTCCCCGGGACTGACAATGAGGGGCGGGCCCAAAGGGTGACGTCAACGTCCTGGAAGGCGGGGTCTGCTGCGAGGGGCGGGGCTGGCCTGTACGCTCCGCCCCCTTCGTGGTTTTTCCCTCTTCCCAGGACTTGGTCTCTGCCAGGCTGTAAACGCGGTGGGAAATCAAAATGGGAGACAAGATATCTTGCTTTCAAGAAAGGGCACTCTCTGGGGGACTGTGAGGATTAAATGATCCATGTAAAGGTGTTTAGCCCAGGGCCTGGTATGGAGTAATCACTCAATAAATACTATTTCTAATACTCAGCAAATGTGGAAAGGAAACTCTGTTTAGACTAAGGAGGCATGAGTTTCAGTCCCCAGCTCTGCTATTAATTCATTGTGTGAATTAATAGACAAGTCCTTTCCTATCCCTCACTTTCAACTTTTTTAAAATGGGCCTGGGCGATAACCAGATGATGTCAAAAGTCCCTCCAATAATTCTGTAGCATATTTCCTGTGGACCTGCTATGTGCAAGGTACCCAGAGCCCAGAGAGATGGGGAGAGGAGCTTTTGAAGGGAACCCAAGACCCACACCCAGCGTGGTACAGGACACAGCCAGAGACACTCTTCTGGTAGATGCCCTCCCACATACTGGCACAGAGCTGCATTCACAAGCCAGGGCATAGATACTCTGAGGGCTGCTTCCTCTCTGACTGCAACAGCACAGCTGGTCTCTTGAGACATCTCTTGTGTAAGTTCCTTATTGCCTATGTAATAAAATCAAAATCCCTGGCCTGGTTCCTTCTCTTCCTACCTTTACGTACACACACACACACACACACACACACACACACACACACACATACCGACTGTACAGTTTATCCAAACTTCCTCTAGCACACCCACTGCTTTCCCACATCTGCCCCATTGCTCATTCTCTTCCCTCGCTGTCTCATCTCAACTTACAATTCCTAGTTTTCCCCAGCCAGAAGTCGACTCTCCCTGCTTGGAATATCCATGGCATTGTGTTTAACTCTCATGAGGTCATGAACACATTTTCAACTTGGATCAAATTTATCTTTCTTTTGTTTCTTAGCACTTCCTCCCTCCCTTAGGGTCAGAACCCACACATGTTCCACACACTATGTAGTTGTCATTCTTATTTTTGTTATTATTATTATCATCATCAATATTTTTTTTCTAGCTTGTAAAACCACATAGCATCCCTAGTGATAATCTGCCCAATCATCACATAGTAGAAGACTCCTAAATCCTGAGAGAGAAAGAGGCCCACTGAAAGTAGCCCTGCAGTGGGTTGCCATTGGAACAGGCACCAACACTCCAGTTTCTAGACCTCAGGGGGATGCTACAGAGTCACATCTGATACCCCAGGGTATCTCTGTCACTCAGCACTGCTCAAAGGTGGGCACAGCTTCGAATTTTCTCTGCAAATCCTTTGCAGCAGAGCTGACCCACTTCTCCCTCACGCCTTTCTCCTCTCACTTCCCTTACAGAGCGATGGATCTGTGTTAAACTGCCCTTGGCATCTCCGCAGCCCTCCAGGAGGACTGCAGAAAGGCACTGGGCGTTTCCAGAGTGCTGGCCTGTGGGAAGAGGGAAAGGGTTCTGGGATTCTGATTAATTTCCTGCTCTGCGGACAGGCAAATGGCTGTCCTGAAATGCCTGGGCCGATCCTCAAGGGCCCCTAACAAATTAAGGCTTATTTTTAGACTAGGAAATTCAGAAATGTTATTTCCCATGAAAAGCAGGCATGGCCACAGGATTGCTGCAGACAGAAAAAGGGACTTTACTGAGTCCTTCCTTTGCCCTGATGCTGATTCCACGCATTGCAAACTGGTGGAAGAGAGAATGCAGGACTTAGGGGAGGTTCTGAAGACAGAACTATCTCCTCGAGATCCATGACCCCATCAACCACTTATTCATTCATTCACACCAAAGCTTTGTCACAGGTCAAATCAGGGTTCAAATCTCAGCTCCACCGCTTACCAGTTTGTGACCTTGAACTTCCAAGTCTCTGCACCTCAGTCTCTCATCTGAAAAGTGGGAATAAAAATAGTGCCTACCTCATACAGTGGCTGTGAGAATTAAATGAAATAACATGTGAAAGAGCTTAGTTCAAAGCCTGGCACTTAGTTCATCCTAGTATATGGTGGCTGCTGTTATTATATTGCAAGATGTCGCCCAAGTAAGGCCTCTCATGTGCTGGCCTCTGGGCTGCAGGGCTAACTAATAGTCCTGTCCTCAAGAAGCTCACTTGGTAAAAGGAATGAGGTAGATTTTCTTGAGCAGGCAAGAAAATATATCTAGCCCTGACTGGTGTGGTTTAGTGGGTTAAGAATCGTTCCGCAAACCCAAAGGTCACCAGTTTGATTCCAGTCAGGGCACAGTCAGGTCCCTGACTGGGGGGTGGGGGAGCCAGGCTTGAGGCAACTGATCTGACCCATGTGATAGATATTTCTCTCACACATCGATGTTTCTCTCCCTTTCTCCCTCTCTTCTCCTCTCTCTAAAAATAAATAAATAAAATCTTGTTTTAAAAAAAGGAAAGAAAACGTATCTACTGGGTATTGTTCAACAACAAGAGTAAGTTGCAGAATTACAGGTGTAGTAGGACCCCATGGTTATAGCTTTAATATATGCTTAATACATGCATGAAATATGGAGAATATAGAGAACTAAACAGAAGGCTTTCACCTTTTTTCTTACTTTTTAATTTGTTTTTCTGTGTGTGTGTGTATGTGTAGCAGGAACTCAGGAACTGTTTTTTTTTTCTTTTTATTTAATTTATTGGGGTGACACTGTTGGGCAGCAGTAACATTCAGAAAAGATTCTACTAGCCCTGGCTGGTGTGGCTCAGTGGATTGAGTGCCGGCCTGCGAACCAAAGGGTCTGTGGTTCGATTCCCAATCTAGGGCACATGCCTGGGTTGCGGGCCAGGTCTCCAGTAGCGGACACACAAGAAGCAACCACACATTGATGTTTCTCTCCCTCTCTCCCTCCTTTCCCCTCTCTAAAAATAAATAAAATCTTAAAAAAAAAAAAAAAAAAAAAGGACTCTATTAGATGCTAAGAGAGAAGAAGAACAGGAATGAAAACACAACTTACAAGACAAATCAGCAGTGGGCATCTGAATCATAGAAAGTTCCACAAGTCACATCTCACTCTTCATGCCATTGCAGGGAAAGCTGCTGTCCAGAAATTCTCACCTTTTACCTCCTCCTCAGCCCTTAGTTGCACTTGAACTTTCAATGCTACACCCAAAGGCAAGACTCCTAACAACTCCCAGGAACCATGGCAAAGCCAGTAGGAGATACTTTTAAGCATCTTGTGCCTGCTGTCCCTAAATTTGCACTTTGATTTTCATTATATATTTCTGCAATTTAAATTTTTTAATAGTTTACTTTATTCTGTTGTTTAGAGAGACAGGAAGGGAGGGCGAAAGAGAGGATGAGAAACACTGATGTGAGAAACATCGACTGGTTGCCTTCCCTACGTGCCCCAGGGGACCGAACTCACAACCCAGGTATATTGCTCCCATTGGGAATTTAACTGGCAAACTTTTGGTTCGAGGGACAATGCCCAACAAACTCAGCCACACCAGCCAAGGCTACAATTTAAATTTTTTATAAAGAGGTTCTATTACTTAGTCATCAGGGAAAAGGGGTTGGTTCATTTTTCTTGGTTTGCAAACAATAAAGTATAACATTGTGATTGAGGCCAGTGCTAAGGCTCACAGGAATCGTAGAAAGTGAGAGTAGAAAGGGATAAAATCGCCCTAAATTCCCCCTACTTTCCCCCAAAAGTCATGATTTTAAGTCGACTCACATTTCAAGCCACCCACAAATGCCTATGTTTCATCCATTATTCAACAAACACTTATACATCCTTTGCTATAAAACAAGCATCATACTGGACACTTTACAGTTACTATCCCATATAGACTATGGGGGTTAGGAAAACAACACTCAAGGAGGTAAAGCAACTTGCTCAAAGTCTCACATCTAATGGGATCTAAGCCAAGACCTGACGACAACAAAGCCCAGTTCCTGAAGGATGCGGGCTGAATTATGAAGCCAGTGAACTGTGCACTCAGGCAGCCATGATGGCCTGGGTGGCCTTGGACAAGTCACTGAACTCTTCTCAACAGCAGTTTCCCCATCTCCATCAGATAAGGACATAACTGGATATTTTATATGAGTTAAGAGCTTTGTAAGTTGCAACACATAATACGAAGGGAAGTCCTCAGGTCAGCTGTTCCAGGCCTGAGCCCTACTCATCTTAGGTTCTCTTGGTGCTTTCCTTATTACTGAATATCCCCATTAAGGTTTACTGCCTGCCCCCCTCCATTAAAGTATTTAGGGGAGTCTTCCTTGCATGGACTCATGTTATTCTCACTACTAGCCTGGGGCCTCCTCAAGGATAGAAACGATGCTTATTCATTTCTGATCCGTCTGCCCCCAGTGTAGCATCTGCCATGCATCCCACCCCTCCCTCACTCATCTACTTCATAGCAAATGGCTGAGAGCCTAACATGCCAGGCACTGCACAAACTGTGAGACAGCAAAGGTCTGGAGAGACAAGGCAACATAAAACATGATTAACTACTTCATGACAATTGCATCGAGTGCCACAAAGTATCAGGCCAAGTGCTATGAGGTCTTCAGGGATACAGAGTGGGGACCTAACTCAATCCAGGACACAGGGAAGGCTTCCTAAAGGAAGGGGCCTTGAGGATCAGAGAGGTTAAGAAATTTACTCAAGGTCACACAGCTGGGAAAGGGAAAAGCTGGGATTTTAACCTGGAATGCCTGATTCCATAGCCCATGTTCTATCTACTAAACAATACTGCCTTTTATCTCTTCCATCTTATACTTCCCTGGCTCTTATTCATGACAGGGGAGCAAGGTCTAACACTGAATACTCTGAGGCAAAGTTTTTCCTAGCCTTGGAGTTTAGGGACCTCCTTTGAGAATCTGGTCAAATCCATGAAACCTCTCCCAGAAACTGCATGTATAAAATGCACAAAAGTCATGCCTGTAACTTCAGTGGGTTCGTAGGCCTCCTGAGGCCCAGCTTTAGAACTCATACCATGGAGGACCATAGGACCTTAGGTGAGATTCTCAGAACCTCAGAAAGAGATACCAGGGCCCCATGGGGACCTCAAATCCCCTGACACACACCAGGATCCTATCGAAAGGTTTTCAAGGTCCAAGAGAAAGATACTGGGAGAGACCCCAAGTCCTCCAGAATAACAGCAGTGCCCTGCAGAGATGTTCTCAAGATGCTGCTGACCCAGGAACCTCAGGCCCTCTTGCAGCACAGTGCAGAGGAATCTGCAGGCCTTGGAAGGCTGTGGTTCTTAACCCTTTTGGGGCCACTGACACCTTTGAAACTGTGAAGAAGAATTTCAACATGTTACACACAAAACCAGTGGGTTTATCAACCTCTGGGAGGCCATCAATAGCCCCCAAATTCTAACCTCCTGTTCTTGAATTTCTACTGGAACCTGACCCCCCCCCCCCCCCCCCCGCAAACCCCTCAAAAAGCTGGATCAGGACCACAGACTCGAAGCACAAACTTTAGAGTCAAAACAGACCACGGGTTCAATCCTGGTCCTCTTGTTTTCTAGCCATGCCCTTGGACCACTCACCTACAAACCCTCAGGCCTCAGCATCTCACCTCCCAAAAGAGAAGGCTGGACACCTCTCCCTCCCCAGCCCAGCCCCAGCGGCGTGGGTTCCAGTGCTGGTGGGCGATGGCGCCTGCAGGACACAAGCTCTCTGCTCCGGCCGGCCGCCCAGGGGTCGGGCTGCAGCACTTCCATGAAATACTAATTGGCAGAATGCGCCAGGAGCGCGAGCGGACGGGCGGCGGGGGGAGGGCGCGTTTGCCGCAGTGACAGCTCCGCGCCGCCGCGGGCCTGGGAAGCCGGCGGGGCCGGCGAGCTCTCGGCCTTTCCCACCCACCCGGCAGGGCGTTCCCGCCAGCCGGCTTCCTGCAGTCGAGGACGGGGGAGGAGGGACGGCGCTGAGGGGCCGCGGGGCCTGGCAGGCCTGGTTCCTGGCTTTCTCTCCGCGTTTCCTGAGCAGGACCCGCCGGGGGATGGGACCCAGCAACAAACCTCCTTCCCCGGGAGCGCAGCCAGGAAACCGCGTCCTTGTTAACTCTGGTTCCTCCTCGGTGCCTGAACAGTGCTGACTGCGGATCTGTGATCTTTCAGTCCTTGAACTGGGTGTGATGCGGCCCAGTGACCCCAAGAGGAAGTTGAGAGACGAAATGGCAGACCCCAGACCCCACAACACAGCAAGAGTCCACCCCATGATGGGAGTTTATTACCACCACCCGACGGGTTAGAAAACTGAGGCTTTAAAAAATAAACCCATTTACCCAAGGTCATCATAAAAATATTACTGCTAATAAACATAAAGTGCTTAGTACATACCAGGCAGGCACTGTGCTACAAATGCTCTAAAACTAGTTGATCATTGAGTCCTCAGAATCTGTGACGATAAATATTATACCTATTTAATGAATCAGGAAACTGAGGCCCAGAGAGGCCAACTAGCTTCTCCAATGTCACACAGCTACAAAACAGCAGAGCTAGGAATTAAGCTCCAGTCTCCTGTTTCCAGAGCTCAGACAGGTCTGCTATCCTGTTTCCCAGATACCTGGCTTCAACTCATTACAGTTGACTAACCTGAGGGCCAGCATCTTGTCTCATTTGTTCCTAGATCACCAAAGCCCCACTTGGAACCAAAGCACAAAATAGGTGCTCAGAGATGACCATGGAGCCTAGCACGGAAGCTCAAAGTTAGAAGAACCAGTAGGAAGAATTTAGCTTGACTTCTGCCAGAACTTTCAGCAAGTGAAAATTCAGCCTCTGCTTGAATACTTCCTCTCATGATGAACTTTCCCTCTCCCATAATAGCCCATTCCCCTGCTGGACAAATATGTTTGGTCTAAAAAGTAAATATTCCATTTTCCCTGTACTCAAAGGAAGGCCACTGTACAAGTTGCATGGCATTACTAGACATTTTCTAAGGGTAGGTGGCGCAATAATTTTAAGTTCCGTGTGAACGGAAACGATGACAGTCCTTCCAAAGATGTTCTCCTTCCATGTACAGAGTTGTTTCAGAGAAAAGCAGCTGAGACTACACTTTCCAGCACCCCTTGTAATTAAGTATGTGACTAGTTTTCACCAAAGGGATACGGGCAGAGAAAACATGTGCCGCGTTCAGGACAAATCCAAGTTAAGAAGTGTGTCTGCTTTCTTAAAGCTCTCCTTTTTTTCTACCATCTGCCAACTGGATGCCAGCACCAGGGTGACCTTGGAAACCACATGTTGAACATGGCAGAGTGCTGGTCAGTCTGGGTCTCACTCAGTCATTTGACTGAATGGGGTACCCATTGAGGTAGATTCTATTGTATTTAGGCATTGAGATTTCAGGCTTTCTCTATTACAGCAGTTAGCATAACTTAACCAACACTGGGTCTAACGTGGGTTCATTGTTTTATCTTCCACATCATGGAGCATTGTGTTGATCATTCAGAAGATGCTCAAAAGACATCCATCTTGCACCGACTGTGTCCAGCTGGCTCAGCTGGTCAGAAATAGTCTCTGTTCATCTCATTGATGCAATACTTCCTGCCTATTCCAAAAAGGATTTTGAGGTGGTTTCCACTGCGGCCTCAAAGCCTGTTTGACAGATAATTAAAGAGAAAGAATCAAAGAGCAATGAAAGCCTGGACCAAAGGCCAGTAGAGAAGAAGAGAAGAAAGATGAAAAATTGACTAATTACAGCAGAAATGCTGGGCTAAGTTTTCTAAGGACAGCAACTGTGACAGAGCAAAAACCATCATTCTGAATTTCCCAGCAGTCAAACCAAAGAGGGAAACGGGATGAGGTACAGATTATATGGAAAGTTGTAAACAAGTGATTAAACACAGACCCTGGAGCCAGACTGTGTGTTTTGAAGCCCAGCTCTACCACTTAATAGTCATGCAACCTTGGACAGTTATATAACCTCTCTGTGCTTCTGTTTCTTCATCTGAAAAATGGGGATGATATAATAATAAACACCCCTCGCTTAGGGTCATTGGGAGGATTAAGTGAGTTAAGGCATATTCAGCTCTTAAAACAGGCCTGTCACTTAGCAAATTCTGTATAAAAAGTAGCTATTGCTATCGCCTGATTGGAAGGATCAGGTCCATGACACGGGAGAGACAAATGTTTCCTGGCACTAAACTCTCAGAGGAATGTATTGCACAACTAAAACAATGTACTGTGCCTCAGCAAGAGTTTTATGACAATTCCTGGGCCCTACGTCACATGGTTATTTTTCTTATTGGTTTTTGGACCAGATAAGTCTTGGCATCCTACTCACTGGGGAATTCTGAGGAGAGGTGGCTGGAGTAACCGAGGGCCTTAGGTACCTTTCTGCTGACTGTCCACAGGGCAGGTAAGTGTCATGACGAGGAGCAAAGGGGTTGGAGTTACACAGACCCAGGTACATTTGTTCATCTTTTCCAGCTACAGCTTCTTCATTTATACAGTGGAGACAATATCAAACAGTGCCTACCTAAGAAAGTTGCCCTAAAGATTACAGAAAAGGATATATGCAAAACCCTTTCCACCATAACTGGTATTGTAGGACGACTGCAGTGCACAAGTACCCACAAAATGAGAAAGAAAGCAACAAAATAAAACAGAAAATCTCACCGGAGACTCTTGGAGTAAGATTAATTTTTAATGCTTCAAAATGTAGAAGAGAAATGGTACATTTCCCCCAGAATGTGACCCTGGGCTGGCCAAATCATTATTTCTTTGCTTCTGGCTGGAACTCCTTTGACCTATGTCAGTGTGGTATACAGCTCAGGTTGGCCTGTCTTCGGAGTCATGCCGACCTGGAGAGGTGCCACAGAGCAAGAATGACCATGGTGCCATAGCAAAGGATTCTGTCTCTGAGGAGGATTGAGAGCTGGAAGCTCCCTTGTGGGTTCCACGTGTTGGGTAGAAATCACTGGACTGAGTTTTATACACATTACCTTGTCCAGCCCCCATAACAGCTTCAAGGGATGAGTCCTAGTCATAATCACATTTTACAGTTGAAAAAGCTGAGGATCAGAGAAGCAAAGTGACCTGTCTTTGGTCATATAGCTAAGAACTGGCAGAGCTGGGACATGAAAGAGATGTGTGTGATGCCGTTAGGTGTTCTAACCACTGGACTACACTGCCCGCCCCGCCCCCGACCTAGGATCTTATCTCTTTAGCCAACCTCTCTCCCCAGGCTGTCTGTTTTCATCAAGGATCCTCTAGGAAACACCTCATGCTGGGCTGCCTATTCCTCTGGACTGGCCCCAGGGCAGCCACTTACTTTATGGGAACCCTTTCATGAGCAAGGCAGACGTTTTATTGAGGGTACCCCCAGCTGATCAGAGGCTTTGGAAAATCAGACACCACAGCCATCACCCAAGTCCAACCTGCAGCTCTTATTTACCCAGCCTCCCAGTTGGTCTCTCTGCCTTGAGGTGCTCCGACCTCCATTCCTCCCTCCATTCCTCCCTGCTTGAGAGCCAGAGTGATTGCTCTCAATACATCTAACCAAGTCATTCCCTTGCAGGATCATCTCCAATAGCTCCCAGTTCAAAGTTCAAAGTCGATAGCTTGCTTTCGTCCCCCAAATCCAACCTACTTTTTCCAACCCTATTTTGCCTCTCAGGTGTCCTTGGCCCCATTGCCCCAAAAAACATTCCTAGTTCCCTGCCTCAGAGCCTTTGCACATGCAGTTCACAATGTGATGTAAGATGAGCAAATGTGTGGATGAGCTGCCAGGCCTGAGCAGGGCTGGGAGGCTGTCAGATTTTATTAACCTCACCCCCCTGCCATCTGAAGGAGACTTCTCTGCCAGGAGGGTTTACTTACTGTCCACCTGGGAAAGGAACCAGGCAGGAAGAGAACATCAGCAGCTCTGGCTCTATGGAAAATGAGGACCTTATCTTACACCCACTCTGTGTCAGAAACTAGGTGTCAGGGAGGTAACATGATAAAGCAGCAAAAGGGTGCTAAATTTCCTGCCAAGTCTGTGTGATACCTGTGTCCAAGCTCTTTTTTTGTAAAGGTTTTATTTATTTTTAGATAGGGGGAAGAAAGAGAGAGAGAAAGGGAGAGAAATATCGATTGGTTCTGACTCATATGTGTTCTGCTGGGGGACCTGCAACCCTGGCATGTGCCCTGCCTTGGAATTGAACCGACCGCTTTTCGCTTTGTGGCTCAACGCCCAACCAAGTGAGCCACCCAGGTCAGGGCCTGCGTCCAAGCTTTTCACAACCATCCTTGACTGAGACAGAATCCACCGCCGTATGTGCATATAATGCATACAGTTGCCTTAGCGCTGTCCTAGAGCAGACTGCAAAATTACTGTGAACGAGAAAGGTGCCCGCCCACCCACCTTCGATTTCTACGCCTTTCATTGATGCTCCTGCGCCACCTGGTGGTCATATCTGGAATATATGAAGATTTTTGACGACAGCTCTGAGGAGAGAGGCCTAGGGTAGATCCACTTAGCAAAATTCTGAAGGGTGGCATTTCCAGCTCAGTCTACCTCCCTCTCTAAGGCCCCAGGGCTCACCTGCGCCTGAGGTGCTGAGAAAGGCAGAAGTTGATTCTGTCTCACTGAAGAATCTTGCATCTGTCACTGTGCCTCTTAGGCTCAGGTGTCTCATCTAAAAAACCTGGCAGGTAGGGATTGGGTCTTTCACCTTGGACGTTCCAGAATCTTTATCTAAAGTTC